GATATAAAAATTCGCACAAAAAACTTTTCCTTTTTCTAAAGCGTATGTATCGCACACCTATCCCTTATTTCCAAAAAGTGGCACTGCCTTTATGAAGCGTTGCGGCAGCGTAGCGCACATTTTTTTATAATAGCAATTCATGCTTACGTGTTCAATTTCATTATTAGATTCTAACATCTAACCTTGAGCTTTGGTAAGATTTCAGAGATTGATAACTAAATTTTTCAAAAATTTTCAAAACGCAAACAACAAAGAAAACTTGAAAACTGTTTAACACTACTTATTATTGATTCTGGTGTTTTGCTAATCTTACGCACTATTTAATTGTAAAATTTTATTTTCTCAATTTTTTAAAATAAAATTACTATTTAAGTTCATTTTTATTCTTTTACCCTTTCAATTCCCACATTGTGATATGCTTCCTATGTCGCCATTCCGCTTAGTTCAACGTGTCTTTACACAGTTGCCCGTGTCTACGCGTGTTACAACAAAACATTTGCAACATCGCTTCGTCAAAATCTTCCAAAAAGTATCCACTGTCAAAATGAGCAATCATCATCTATCAAGTCCTTTCGTGCGAAATCATGTCAGACCCAGTATCGACGCGACAAATTATTGATTTTCCAGGTTTAGGGTTGTATAAATAGGAGTTGTCTTACTGTATGCAACAAATGAAGAAACATATCCCTCCACTACCATATGCGGCCACAATGTGTCGGTCGCAATGCATTTTAGAGTATTTTATCTGCGACCCAGTCTTTTCTGATCTTTTCGAAACTTAATTTCTTTTAGATGAAATTTACCTAATAGAGTTCTCAAGTAAATGAAATCTATCGGCGTCAATTCAAGGTGTCATGTCTTTTTGGACGTATTTTGTATCCCGTTCCCTATCACCATTTATTAGCAAAAGTTGAAACACAAATTCTTTTGTGTTTTTAAAGGCAATTTTTTTGTAAGTAAGCACCCTGTACTTTGCCTTAGCATCATTTTTGAATATTCAGAATATTTTTGAATATTATTTTTAGCTCAC